CCCCCCCCCCCCCCCCCCCGAGATGGTTTCCCTGTGTACCTGGCTGTCCTGCACTCACTTGGTAGACCAGGCTGCCTCCCAAGTCCTGGGATTAAAGGCGTGTGCTGCCACCCCTTGCTCATGTTCCGCTTGGGCTGCACCTGCTCCGGGCAGTCCTCCCAGTTCATGCTGGCCCTTGGCGACCTGTTCCCTCCTCCTCCCTCCTCAAACCTAGGCTCTGCCCACCTCCTGCCCAGCCCAGGTGCAGGCAGGGACAGTCTGGGAGGTTTACAGCATTTCATGTTGGATCTGTGAGGATCTGCTTGTTAGGAGCTCAGGAAGAAGCAGTTGATACTGGAGCACAGAGCACCGGATCTACCCCAACAGTCTGCGGGCCAGGCTGGCTCGGTGTAGCAGGCGGAGGAGAGAACGGACTCTGGCGATTGCTCTATGACCTCCACGCACACAGCGCTTGCCCGTGGCCGCGTCCAGACATGTGCACGCCTTACTACTTACAGTTGTTCTGAATTAAAAGTGGGAGCATACTTGCAAGACAGTTGACAGTAATGAAGCTGCTGAGGAATCAGTAAGCCGTACTCCATTAAAATATAAAAACAAAGTGCTTTTTCTTAATGTTTGCTTTTCTCTTCCTAGGTTTCTGGACTACTTGTCCGACCTCTGTGTGTCCAACAGCACTGCCATCCCCGTCACTCAGGAACTCATCTGCAAATTCATGCTGAGCCCCGGCAACGCAGACATCCTCATTCAGACAAAGTAAGCTGCCCCGTGGAGGCGTCTGCCAGAACACCCAGCCGTTCGCATGCGTCTTAATAGACTTTGCGTGTCCTTGCTTTCAAGGCTGGTGTCCATGCAAGTGGAAAACCCCATGGAGAGCGCCATCCTTCCTGACGACATGGATGACGAGGAAGTTTGGCTCTACTGGATTGACAGCAACAAGGAGCCCCACGGCAAAGCCATCAGGCACCTCGCCCAGGAAGCCAGGGAGGGCGCCAAAGCCGACCTGGAGGTTCTGACCTACTACAGGTACCGAGGGCAGCTGCGCCACAGCTGCGTCACAGCCGTGTCAGGGATCCCAGGGAGCTGATTGTCCCAGCCTCTGGGAGCTGGAGATACATAAGAGGATGTTAGATGCCTGTGTCAGAGGAGGAGGCAGAAACGCTGAGAGCCACCTGGAAACATCAAAATGAGCCTTAACCTGTGCTCTCTGCCCACATTTTCTGATGAGTTGGGGCTGCTGTGCAGGAAGGCGCTTCTTCCTGTTGCGGGATATAGGGGTGCAGGGGCAGATGAGAGGCTCGAGGACCTTGGCTGTGGATCGAGGGAGAACGGGCTGGGGCAAGACAGACTGCAGGAAGTGGCAGTGGATTGAGACGGGATCTTGTGAGCATGCGCTCTCCCGGGCCTGAGTGGTTCGCGTGTCTGTGGCTCTGAGGTCACCTGTGCTTACTAGCAAAAGCACTAGTGTCGGTTGGTTCCCAGGGTCCATATGTTGGGGATGTTGGGATCAGTGACTCAGGGCTGACAGGATGGCTCAGTGGGTAGGCACTCTCACTGTGGGAGCCTGACCACCTGGTTCTGATCCCTGGAACTCACGGAGAAGGAGAGAATAACCCCCAAAGTTGCCCTCTGACCTCCACACAAGTGGTGTGGCGTGTGGATGCCCTCCCTAGCCTTCAAAGAGGAAAACAACAACCACAGTTAAAGACGTAACCGGAGCTTTGAATTTAAGGGATGAGATTCAAGGCTGAAGTTGGTGGGAGTCAGGGAAGGGTCCTGTATCTCTGGAGCAGCCTTCATCCCGGTGGTAGGACCGTGTGGGCTGACCCTGTTTGCTGTGGGAAACAAGTGGGGACAAGGTCAGTGTGGACTCTGGGGACCCCCGCATTCCAGCAGAGGCTGGGGAAGGTAGAGGGAGGGAGCACCATGCGACACAGGGCCTATTTTGGGCTTGGATCTTAGGAAAGCCTGGCCAGGAGAGGCTGGAGTGATAGGGACAGTTAGGCCTATGAAGTGTTTGGCTCTGTGCGGTCTGTACTTACGGTTGTCCTACCCAGGGTCTGCCTGTGCTGTCTGTTAGGGCTTTGGTTGGCATGAGGGATACTCTAACATGTCTCGTGTTTAGGTACCAGCTCAACCTCTTTGCAAGGATGTGCTTGGACCGCCAGTATCTGGCCATCAACCAGATTTCCACACAGCTGTCTGTAGACCTGATCCTGCGGTGCATGTCTGATGAGAGTCTGCCCTTTGACCTCCGAGCGTCCTTCTGTCGGCTCATGCTCCACATGCATGTTGACCGTGACCCCCAGGAGTCCGTGGTGCCTGTTCGCTACGCCCGGCTCTGGACGGAAATCCCCACAAAGATCACCATTCATGAGTATGTTTGGAAGCCTCACGTCTTTGCTAGGGCTGCTTTTCCGTGTGGAAACACCAGGATCAAAGCAGCTTGGGGAGGAAAGGGTTTATTTGGCTCGCACTTCCTTGTCACTGTTTATCACTGAGGAAGTCAGGGCAGGAACTCAAGCAGGGCAGGAACCTGGAAGCAGGAGCTGATGCAGGGGCCGTGGAGGCCGCTTACTGGCTTGCTCCCCACGGCTTTCTCAGTCAGATTTCTTAGAGAACCCAGGACCACAGCCCAGGGATGGCACCACCCACGACAGGCTGGTCCTCCCACATCAATGACTAATTAAGAAAATGCCCACAGCCCAGTCTTATTGAGGTTTTCTCAGTTGCGGCTCCCTCCTCTCCAGCTGACAGAAAAGTATCCACTACATTGTGTTCATTATTTTTTTTCCATTGCTCTGACCATTTAAGTAGCAGCGAGAACAGCCTAAGCAAGGAAGGGTTTTCTTTTTGGCTCAACAGTTTGAGAAGCCCCAGGACCTTGACATGACATGGCGTCACTTTGAATCTGCCCTCAGGAGGCAGAGAGAGCTCACTTCTATTCTTCCTCCTTATTCCACAATGGCTGCTAGCCCAGAGAAAGGTCTTTCCACACCCAGTCTGGGCCCATCCTCTTCAGTTAATTGGTTCTGGAAACACCCTCACAGATGTGCCCAGAGGTGTGTTTCCTAGAGGAGTCTAGATCCCATCAAATGACAGTGAAGACGAGCTGTCAGAGACGTTTCTCAGGATGCTTAAATTCAGCAGGTGAATGCAAAGTGAGGTGTCTTCGCCTTTAAAGAGAAAAGCATAGGACGGCACTTGTGGACTTGGTTCACACCGTCCATCTGGGAAGAGTCGCTAGGGAACCCTCTCCCAAGGGCACGGTGACAGCTCTCCGGCAGGAAGCGTGTTTCTGGAAGCTAGTAAACAACCCCAGCAGCCACAGCTTGCTGAGTGTGTGCTGTGCACTCCCCTGCCTGTCCCATCCCGGGTGGCGGTGGCCCCACCCCCATCACAGGTAGGAGAGACGCACACCCCAAGAGGTCGCTTGATGTGTCCAAGGCAGTGCACTCTGGGAGTAAGAACGTGAGACATGCCGCTCTCCGTGTTTCTCATCGATTTAACCGGCTCCTGTGACTGCCCAGGTATGACTCCATCACAGACTCTTCCAGAAGCGACATGAAGACGAAGTTTGCCCTGACGATGGAATTTGTTGAGGAATATTTGAAAGAAGTTGTAAATCAGCCATTTCCTTTTGGGGACAAAGAGAAGAATAAACTGACATTTGAGGTATTTAAAGTTAAGACATTTATTTTCTGTGTGCCTGGTGCCCACCGTCGTCAGAAGAAGGTGTCAGGTCCCCAGGAACAGGTGGTTATGGACCACTGTGTGGGTGCTGAGAGCCAAAGCCAGGCCCTCTGGGAGAGCAGCAGCTCTGATGGCAGAGCCAGCTCCCAGCCCCAGTCAGGCATTTCAGAATAGTTACTCCTGGCACAATTGTGTGTTCTTGTTAGCAAATAGGATGCACTGAGCATCAGAGATTTCCCTTTGTGCTCATATTTAGCGTTATCTGATATAAATCCATCTGCTGAGGATAAAATAGAGATTTGGTATTTTAAGCTCTAATTTTGTTCATTGACTTGCTTTTGAGACCCCGTGTGCTGTGTAGAAATGCCCCTCACATGCCGGTTACACCGCATCCAAGTGATGGCACACAGCTTGAAAGAGAAGAGAGAAAGAAAAACTGCAGGTTGCAGATCCCCTCAGTCGCCTTTTCTGAGCGGTCCTCGTGACGGATGCGCTGGGTGACTAGTGATGCCTAGTGGCGTTACAAGTGAAGGCCCGCTTCATTTCAACCCTCATGCCTTGACAATCAACATGCTCTAGCTCAGTCATCAGCTACTCATGGCCTTCCCTGTTTGATGTTCTTTGCAGCAGTCGATCGTTGTGCTTGGTAGGTAAGGGCAGGCAGCCTTGCTGACCAGAGCTGACATGTGACGACACGAGGACCTCTGGAGAGAGGTCACCGTCGCATCACCGCTGTGCACTAGTTAGCCTCTGTCAGGAGTGTGAGTCGGGGCCTGGGTGGATGTTGGTGGCCTGGCTGGTACTGGCTTGTCACCACACACCTCCCAGCCCTCTGCCACATGGCTTTTCTGTGGGCTGAGTGTCCTTGTGACATGGCACTGGGCTTCCGAAGAGAGAGAGAGAGAGAGAGAGAGAGAAGAGGGGTGATAGCGCAGGAGGGGAGGGAGGCAGGGACAGACAGACAGAGCGCTCACAGCAGTGTTCTGTCATCCGCCCTGGGGAATGGTGTAGCGCCTCCGCAGGCAAACCTGACGCACCGGAGGACAGCCCTCTCTGGAGCCGCGCTGGAGGCTGCATCGCACGCTGTAGTTCCTGTCGCACCCAGGAGGCCAGAGGCCAGGGCAGGGGACATAGACTTCTTCTCTCATTTTTATTAATTTAACCACTCACAATGGTATTCTCCTGACTTATATTTAATTAGGTGGTGAATATTGGGACATAAACTCCTTACATTACCGTAAAGTCTCTATGAGTTAATCCTAGACTTGAGTCAGTCACAGACTCAGCAGTGGCCTTTGCAGGGTGTGAAAGAATTGAGGGCTTAGAAATAGTTGTGGCTCGTTAGCTGTACAAATGCACATGTTGATTCCGTCTTTCCAACGCTCTTCGTCTTCCTCTCCTGGCGAAGGTGGTCCACCTGGCGAGGAACCTGATATACTTTGGATTCTATAGCTTCAGCGAGTTGCTGCGGCTGACAAGAACCCTGCTGGCTATCCTAGACATCGTCCAGGCCCCCGTGTCTTCGTATTTTGAAAGATTAAGCAAGTTTCAAGATGGAAGTAAGAACGTTTGGGGAGTGTGATAATGTGTTTGTTTTTAAGAGGGAACAAGAGAAAACCCAAACATATAGAGATTTCTAACACGTGTGATCCCTATGAACACTGGCTCATGCTGGGGCTACGTGATAAAAGTGTAGACATCCGAGCAATTTTCTCTCATGATAATGAGTTTTTGCATGTGTGTGCGTGTGGAATGTGTCCACATGTGTATGGGTGGATATGTACAGGTGAACATGAACCTGCGGGCCTGTGCAGGCCTGAAGGTGGCATCAGGTGCCTGTTTTGACTGCTGTCCGCTTTGTTAATCGTGGCAGGAACGCAGCTGCTCCCGGCTGCTCTAGGTACTGGCTTGCCCCGGGGAGCCCTGTCTCCGCCTTCAGAGCGGAGTGCAGACAGTTGCCTGCCTGCCTGAAGCGGCAGACTAACGTGGTTCGGGGTTTTATGGTTTGAGATGTAGGAAAGCACGTAAGGAGATGGCGGCACGGGGGTCTGACGTGTGAACATGCCGTTACCTGAGCGTGTGTGCGCTCTCGGCTACCCCTCCCGGGAGGCTGTCCACTGGCTGGCTCTGCTGCCCCTGGTGTCGGGTCTTAGGGCTGACCCTCAGAGGCCGGAAGGGAAGAGGCCGGCATCAGTGTTTTGAGCCAATTAAGATGATCTCCAAGTCTCTCAGGGTCTCGTTTCTCTGTCACGTAGTTGTCACTTCTAAACTCGATGGTGAAACCAGAAACCCCGGGTGAGTTGCGGTTCGCTGAGCGAAGGCCCGTGAGCATTGGTTTTAGCCTCTTCTTTTGAAGCAGCTCTTGCCGGGTGCCTGGAGCCTTGGACGCTGCCCGTCCTTGTCCTTTGGCCTCCTCCTCTCCCGAGCAAGGGGCAGGCTCCATCCTCGCTCCCTGGCCCCTCTACACCTTAGACTTCAGGCCGAAACCTCTCCTCAGACAAGGAAAAGGACCTTGTTGATTTGCTCACAGGGACTTGGTTGCTGTCTTTGTTCCCCCAGAAATCTGCTGTGTCTTCGAGATAAATGCCATTTCTTTCTGTTTGTCAAATCGGTGTGGCACGGTGGCCCCCAGAGCACTGGGCACCCTAGCTTTCACAGTAGTGACCCCCAGAGCACAGGGCACCCTAGCTTTCACAGTAGTGAGCGAGAACACAGGGTCCGTAAGGCCCAGCGGGTCGCAGTGTGACGGCCTCTGCCGTGTCTGCAGACGAACAAGGGTGCGGATGCTGTGCCCGAGTGTGCGTGTGCTGACTGGGGCCTCTCCTGTGCCAGGCAACAACGTCATGAGGACCATCCACGGGGTGGGAGAGATGATGACACAAATGGTGCTCAGCCGGGGCTCCATCTTCCCGGTGAGTGTGCCTGACGCGCAGCCCAGCGTCCACCCCAGCAAGCAGGCGAGCCCTGGAGAGCAGGAGGACGTGACGGTGATGGACACCAAGCTGAAGGTCATAGAGATTCTACAGGTGTGTCTTGGGCTTGACACCGACAAAGATGCTGCCCGGGTCATTGGTGTCACTGAAGCTTTGTGCCGTGTCACGGTGTGTGTGTGTGTGTGTGTGTGTGTGTGTGTGTGTGTGTGTGTGTGAGTATGCATGTGTATGGATGTGTTTGTATGTGTGTGTGTGTCTGAGTGAGTGTGTCTGTGGCTCTGTAGCACAGGCTCATGCGGAACTTGTGGCAATCCCCCTGCCTTAGCTTCCTGGGATTCCAGGTGTTTGGTATTCTTCCTGGTTTCCCCGTGCACATACTGCAATGTTCCTGGTCCCACGTGTGCTGGACGGCAGTCACCCTCAGATTATTCTTGTTTTGAAGGAGGAAGAGCTGTTGAGGCCTCTTGCACACTCACGCTGTTTAGTCCTGGCACACTGATGGTATTTAGCAATTGTGGACTGGTTTGTGGGTGATGGAATTGCTTTCCGTGTTTATTATCAGTTAGCATTCACCTCGATCAAATATTTCTTCTCTTAAGAAAGATGTTTTGAGCAGGTGTATTGAGTGATGGCGTGCTAATCACCTGTTTCAAATGCGTGAAACACACGTGTGCATTCCATGTGTCCAGATCTCTTGTATAATTCTAGTGCTCAGGAGGCGGAGACAGAGGATGTCTGTGAGCTCAAGGCCAGCCTGGGCGACATAGCCTGGGTCAAGGCTTGGTCCAGCAGCTGATTTTGTTACTTCACACACTTGCTCTCTTTGTGTTTCTGAGGGGCTGGGATTGTTTGTTTTTGTTTTTTGCACATTAGCCAAGTTTAATACTTAACCGCTGTCACCTTAATGAGCACCAGAGCCTTGTCACACAGGCTATTCATGGCACCTTGGTTACGGCCTTTACTCCAGAGTCATTGCATGGACCCCGTAGCCTTCGAGACTGTCTTCAGACTGTAAACAGAATTTCCCAAATCCTTCGGCATCATCTAATGTAGGCTGAGCTCCCAGAAGTGGCTCTGCAGTCCTGGAAGGCTCCGGCGTGTCTCACTCAGAGTAATTAGATTTATCATCATAAAACATGTCTCGGTTCCTCCGGGGTTTCCAGAGGCCAAGTCCTGAGAGATGTTGGCAGGCTTCCGACCCTGTGCTCATGGCCTTGAAAAAAATCATGAAATGTTTTTATCCTGAAGCTGAGAAATGGACCGAAGGGCCCCTGTTCAGCACCCCACCCGCACTGATGCTTGTGACTCATTTTCCCCTGTGGCTCCAGCGATGGTGCCTGTCACAGGTGAAGCAGGGGCAGGGCTGTGTGCCTGCAGCCTCATTCCAGCACTTGGGGAGTTTCCCCTGAACCTCTTCTGCTGTCTGACCTCCAGGCAGGCTCTCCTGTGTCACAGCGCGCTGCCCTCGAGTGCTGCCCTCTGGGGACATCCCAGCAGCACCTCTGGCGCTGAACCCAGGCTGCTCTCTGTCAGCTCCTCCTCTTTACCCTGTTTAACCGCGTGTTTCAGTGAGCACTGTTTGATTCTTACGCTCTGGCCTTATTTACTCTCTTTTTCTGCCTTTACAAATTTTTACATTTATTTATATTTTTAAAAGACAAGGATGGTTTGTTCTGTAGCCCTGAGTAGCCGAGAGTCCGCTTTGTAACTAACTTAGGCTAGCTTTGAACTCATGAAATCCTCCTGCCTGAGCATTCCAAGTGCTGAGGTTGCTGGAATATAGGTGGGAGCTACCAGGCCTGGCTTTTTCTCTGACTTGTGGTTGCCCTTTTATCCTTTACCATATCTGCAGTTAGGAAATGAAATCTGGTGAGTTCTCATTTCAACAGAGCTGAATGCTTCCAGAGTGTCTCAGCTTGAATTCTTTTCTTTCCTCTTTTAGGCATTTGAGTTAACCCCCCCCCAAAAAAAAAAACCCACTTGTGTATTGAGCACCCATAGCCTAGCTTCCGTCTCCACTGTCCTGATGCAGGGGCATGCCCTGTACTAGTCTACTGTTCCCCGTGTGGGTGTGCCCACACTTTATAAAGCCCCGCCCACTGGAGAATAGCTATCCTGGGCGTGTCATGTTCGCAGCCAGTATAGAGTCGCTGTGGGTTTGTGTGTGCTTCTGGACCTTATGCTCATCAAGAGCCACATTTACAACCGGATCACCTTAAAATATGATATCAGAAAGGATCTGTAGTGTGTGTGTGTGTGTGTGTGTGTGTGTGTGTGTGTGTGTGTGTGGTATGTGCTTGTGAATACAGGTGCCTGCAGAAGCCAGAAGAGAGCACTGGACTCCCTGAAGCTGGAGTTCTAGGTGGTTGTGCCTTGTCTGACGTGGGTGCTGGGAGTCAGCTCGAGTTCCTAGCAACAGCAGCATCTGTAGGCACTCTTTGTATGGTCTTTTATGGATGAACTTAACCAAGAGTAGCTGTAGTGAGAGCTTGCTTCCGTCCAGGTGCAGCACAGGGGGAGAGGATGCAGGGAAGGGGCGAAAGAAAGGGAGGGAGGAAAGGATAAAGGAGAGATGGGGGGGAGAAAGGAGAGAGGACCAGGTCCTGGCCAGGGGATCCTAGAAAGGTGTGTGCTGGGCGCTGGGCGTGCCGGCAGTGTCCTGAGAGCCTACTCTCATGGGCGGGGAAGAGAGTCAAGGTTCGGTGGACTTTGAACGAGCACAGAGACTGATGGGAAATTGTATGTGACACAGGGCCCATGGGATAGAGGAGTCTGAGCCCTGAGTAAGGGCTGGGTCCTGGGAGGAAGGAGAGACAGTCTACTGATAGTAGAAAGGCCAGCTTTCCTTTTCTGTTCTTTCCTTTTGTTAAGCCAATTTATTTAAATATTATCCCATTTCCTTTGGGTCTGTTTTCTTATACAGTAATTAATTAATTAATTAGTTTATTTATTTGTGTATTTACTTCTTTTTCTTGTCTTGTCCTTCCATCTTTTATTTTTTCATTTTCATTTTAATTTATTCATTTTACAACCCTGTTGTAGCCCCTCCCTTCTCTCCTCCTGATGCCACCCTCCCTGTCCCCTCCCCCCACGCCTCAGTAAAGGGGAGCCTCCCACCCCCAGCTCATCAGGTCACATCAGGACTGAGTGCATCCTCTTCCCCTGTGGCAAGGCAGCTCCCCAGGGGAAAGTGATCGAAAAGCAGGCAACAGAGTCCATGTCAGAATCTGCTCCTGTTCCACTTACTAGGCAACCCACATGAGGACCAAGCTGCCCATCAGCTACATCTGTGTAGAGGTCCAAGGTCTAGTCCATGCATGGTTGGTGCCTCAGTGTCCTCAAGCCCCTCTGGGCCCTGGTTAGTTGACTCTCTTGGTCTTCTTGTGGGGCTCCTGTCCCCTCTGGGTCCTTCTATCCTAACCGCCACTCTTCCATGAGACTCAGAAGCCAGCATTTCTGAAGCCTCACCGATGTACAGGAGGAGGTACTGGATGACACAGGGCACTGGAATAGCTGTGCTGATGACGTCTGCTTATCTCAGGGCAGGTGAGGGGAAGGTGCCGACCGTCTGCAGCACAGCCTCCGAGCGTCTTCCCGGTCCCCCACCTCAGCAGTCACTTATTCCTTCAGGCAGGGATTCCCAATGTTTGGGTTCCCCAGGCTCCCAGCAGAGCAGGGGCCTTAAGGGTGGCTTCATTACTGTTTGTGTGTCACGACCCTGAGGTGGTGACAGAAACCCAAGGGGAAAGCCAGGAGCCAGGTTTCAGCTGGCGCCCTGGACTGACAGCAGGATTGCTGCATCAACCCACTGCGGTGGAAGCCACAGCCTTTCTGTGCACAGAAGCAGCTCTGGCCTTTTCCTCTCAGCAAAGAAAGCTGCCAGTGTGCCTGGAGCGTTCCAGCGTTACGTCTTAGATCTCCAAGACTCCCCACCCTGGGGTAGTCAGGGAACAGCTGTGGGATACCGGAATGGCTTGTGTCTAAAACTCAGTGCAGACCAGGTGTGGTAGCACACACCCGTGACCCCCAGAACTTTGGAGGAGGAAGAGGCGTGCAAGGCTATCCTCTGAAACACAGGGAGTTTGAGGCCAGCCTGGGCTACAGAAGACCCTGTCTCAGAAACAACCCACCAAAACAAACAAACAAACAAATGTAGGTTTTCCTTAGTACTGACCAGTGAAATCACAAACCTGTCCTTCATTTTAAAACTGAATCAAACGGGTAAACGATGGAGCGTCTGCAGTGCACAAGTAAGCGCTGGCTGGTTCACTTGAAGACTGACAGCAAGTGTGGTTGTTGTGTCGTGGCCTGCATTAACCGTTTGCTGTGTGTGTGAGGGCGCCTGTGTCACCGTGCGTCCCCCCCCCCCCCGCTTTGCGATCTGGGGGTGGAGCCGCGTTGCCAGGCTCATGCGCAAGGCCTTCCTCTCGACGGTCTTGCGGGCCCGTGTTTAAGGGTGTGCAGACGCCTGTGACCCCGAGGACTGGCACCTGCCAGCCTGCGCTGACGAGCCGTTTGTCCTGGTCCTTCTTCCAGTTCATCCTGAGCGTCAGGCTGGACTACCGCATCTCGTACATGCTGTCCATATACAAGAGGGAGTTCGGGGAGAGCAGCGACAACGGCGACGCGGCTGCCGGCGGCTCCCCGGACGCGCTGCTGCCGTCAGGTATCTCTGTGGCAGCGCCTGCCGTTTGCGTTCTGTTTCTGTACTTTTAAGGCCATTTTAAATGGTACCTTTTATTCCTTGGGAATTTCCCGTACCCACAGCGTGTTTTGATGGTGTCTGTCCATCCGCTCCTCCCTCCTTCTCACGCCCCCGCCTCCCTTCCATCCCCAGTTCATTGCTTTGTCTTTGCTCTTGACAACCCCTGAGTCCAGCTGGGGCTGCCCGCGTGAACGTGTGGCTGCTCCCTAGGGCACGGTCAGCTCAGCACACTTATCCGAGGAGACTGACCCTCCCTCCCTCAGCAGCCTTCCGTTGCCAGCATCCATGCCAGGATGTTGGCTGCTGTGAGTTAACGTGCGCACCAGCCGTGTGTGTCTGCACATGGGCGTTTCAGAGCACTGCTCCGTCTGCTGACTCTTACCTTCTTCCTGCTCCATCTTCTACAACCTTCCCTGCACCCCGGCTGCCGGGCGGCTGCTGGAGATGGCCCGTCCGCAGCTGAGTGCCCAGCGTTATTTACGTTCTGTATGTTGACCGATTATCTACGTAACCATTATCCATGGAGAAAGGAGCTTCTCTGACCAAAGCTGAGATCAGCGGAGATCTACAAGTGCAAGCATGCGTGTTTAGAAAGCTGTCAGCACAGGCAGAATCTAGTTGTTGGTGACAGGGCCTGCGAGCTCCCCAGTCACGGCTTTGAGCAGTTATGAAATCCCTCCTGTGGTTCCAGCCTCGTGTCCAATCAAAAGTGGCTGGTTCCTCCTGTACCCTCCATGCCCCCGCTGCACCAGTGGGCGCATCTCGCCAGCGTGTCAGTCCTGAGTGTGCAGGGCCCAGCGCTGGGTGAGGCTCGAAGCCTTTCCCTTTCAGTAGCCAGTGCAGCGAGATTTGGCTGTCTGTAAGCGAGGGCAGGAGGAGGCCTCCGGTGTGTCGAGGCTGAGGTGTTGTCTTGAATCCAAAGTGAGTGATGTCTTCAGCAATGAGGCCTTTATTGTTGGCCGCGACAGGCGACCAGGAACAATGACAATAACCTGATCAGTGTTCACAGGGAGGTATTCTGTGCCTTGCACTGAGGTTTGAATGTAATAACCCATGTTTTCTGCAAGTAGCACTGTCTACCCATGCAGGAGGCATCTGTTCACATTCCATGTGAGCATGCATAGGTGTGTACACGTGTGTGGTCTGTGGAGATTATCTACATGTGTGTATATGTTTGTGCACGTGTATATGTACATATATATGAGTGTTGTGTGTGTGTGTGTATATATATATATATACACACACATATATATGGTGTGTGCGAGTGTATTTGTGTGTGTTTGTATTTAACTAGCTTACAGAACAATAGGTTGCCATAAGGCTTCTGCACAATCTTTGATTTTGCATTCTGCTTTTAAAGACTTCTAGCACCTTTTACACCTATCTTAAAGCAAAAGTGTTTCTGTGTCAGGAGAGGACAGTATCTACTGGCTGAGGCTGACACAGAGCCGTGCAAGACAGGGAGGCTTTGTTGTCACTGTGTCCTTTGCGCCCGGCCCGTGACTGCCCCCCCCCCCTGTGATGGCGGGGCTGCTGTTTATTCTGCCATTTCACAGAGGAGGTGCAGCTGAAGGGCAGTGTGTGTGTGTGTGTGTGTGTGTGTGTGTGTGTGTGTGCGCGCGCAAGCCCTGGTTAGCTAGAGAACGGAGAGGAAGGGCTCCCCAAATGCTCTCCTGTGGTGGCCCCTGGCTTTGGAATTCTACCTCACACTTAAAACCAGCATGTTTCTGAGACTCGGATCATAATCCCAACGAGCATGAAAATGGCTGTGAAATGTTTAGGTTACAGAGAGAACTTTGTGAAGACTGAGAAATATTCGTTCTCCTTTTACCTGGATGGGCCTGGCAGGCTTTAAACTCCACCTCAGGCCTCAGACAGCCTAATAGTTAAGGAGGCTTCTCTGAGGCTGACGCTGTGCGCATGTGGGAAGCCCCAGCAGTGCTGGAGCCGCCTCTCCCCCCCCCCCACCTGCTGTGAGGGCAGTGAGAAGGGACCAGGCCGCCGCCTCACTGCGGACCCCTCTGCTCCGAAGGCAGCCTGCCCTGCAGAGGCTGGCCTCCATCCTGCCTGAGGAGCCACTCAGGCGCCCTGGCACGCTGAAGTTTCCCAGAAGCACAGAGCCCAAAGGACTGTCTCCAGGGACGACCAGGCCAAATCGAAAGCCGGGCAGGCGGCCTCATTGACAGAGACATAACAGCCACTGGCTCCCCGAAGCCAGACTAGTGGAAACATGAGCGAGAGGGTCAGCAAAGTACCCAGCAACGGTTGAGGGCACCCCTGGAAATGCTTTCTGTGATGGAGCCGATTTGCGTGCGTGCATGCAGAGGCGTAGGATTGTCCCTTCTTTTTGTATCTCTCTTTTCATGCTTTAGAGATAATTGCCTCAGGTAGGAAATGACCCTGTGCAAGACAAAGAGAAAGATTTCAGGCGTGGCGGGAAGGTCACATCCATGGCAGCACAGTGACGTGGCTCTTTATGTGGATTTTGATCCTTTAAAAAAAACTTTTCCCTTGTGGCTGGGGGGACGGCTCAGCTGTTGAGAACACCGGCTGCCCTTTCAGAGCCTGTTAGCGTCCTCTCACCCACAGGGTAGCTCACAGCTGTACCTAACTCTAGTTCCAGGGCATCTGACACCCTTCTCTGGTCTCTGTGCACACGTGTGGGCAGAATATCCTCACATGTGAAGTGAAAGTAAAGGAGAACAAAGTGTTCTGTGCCATCACTCGTGTTACTTGTGTTTTTTTGTAGGCACACACCAAACACACACACACGCACACACACACACACACGCACACACACGCACACACACACACACTTACAAAGAAGAGCACCTTTGTAAAGACGCCCTTGACCATCTTTGCTCGCAGCTGCTGACGGTAACCCGTTAGTTTAAGGCTTGTATTAAATAGGAGCCAGCACATTTGGAGCCTGGATGCAATGCGCAGCATCTAAACACACACGCACATATGCGGAAGCGTCAGTTAATATGCTCAACTTTGTCCCGGTTTGTTTTTATGTTGCTGTGATAAAATACTCCAGCAAAAAGCAGCTTAGGGGAGAAGGGGCTCGTTTCTATATTTCCGTGTTATAGTCCAGCATGGCAGGAAAGTCACAGAACATGCCCCACAGAGAGCTGGTCACACCGTATCCGCAAGGACAAGATGGAAGTAAGTGCAGGCCTGTGCACCTGCTTGTGCTCAGCTTGAGTTCTTAAACGATCCAGGACCTCACACCTAGGGAATGGTGCCACCCACGGTGGGCTGGGCCTTCCCACATCAGTGAACATCGGTGAACAAGACAAGTTCTGCCCCACCCACTGCCCACAGGCTAACCCAGTGTAGACGGTTCCTCATTGACAATGTCTCCAGGGTGATGCTAGCTGTGTCAGGTTGGCAAAGCACCAGCGTGCTGAGTAAGTGGAACTGCATTGTGGTTTTCTGGACTGTTAAGATTCGGTGTCACAAAAGGTGTTGAAGTAAAAAATACCTTCAAGTAAGTGAGTGTGAGCAGAAAATAAAGGCGTTCTCCGTGTGTCTTCACAGCCCTCGTTCCTGACATCGACGAGATCGCGGCCCAGGCAGAAACCATGTTTGCTGGAAGGTAGTCTGCTGCCTCTTTGTTATACGTGAATACACCCTACCTCGAAGTTTGTCCATAGTTTTCTGTCATTCATCTTTTAGATATGTTTAGATTCCCCCGTTGCTGCTCACTTATTTCTGCCAGAAACAAAGTTTTTTACTCAGGGAAGAGCATGACCCTTAAGTCACCTGAACAAATGGGAGAAACGAGATCCACATATTTAGCTTCCTCAGAATTCTTAGCTTTGACTTCCTTAGCTAACGAGAGCATTGAAATGCCCTTTGGTTTCCTGGTATAAATATTGTTGTGTCTTGCAACACATCGCATCCCTGAGTCTCAGATAGCTGAGGCAAGAACGTGGCTTCTTTGGATGGTGCCCCAAGCTTTCTGTGTGAGGAGCCAGGCCTTTCTGTCAAGTGTCCATGATGGAGGAACGTAGGTGCCATGGCATGACCGCCCTCCGTCGCTGCCGCGTCCTGGCGTGTAAAGTTTCTTTTTCAGAAGTGAAACAGTAGCAGCCAGAACGAGCAAGCAGATCTCAGTCAGCATCGCTGAGATTCTAGTACAGGCCTTAGGTAACTCGAGGAGGCAGCCTGCTTACATGATCTCCTTATGGCCTCTTTTTCTCTAAAAGAGTAGTAAGAGCTAAGATTCATCGGGACCCCAGGATCCACAGCTCCATGCCAGCCTGGGCTCCACAGTGAGAGTCTGTGTAGGGGAGGGAGTGGAGGCAAAGGAGGGAGGGGAAGCAGGAAGGAAGGAGGGAAAGAGGGAGGGAGAAAGAAAGGGGAGACAGGAAGGAGGGAAGAAGGGGAAGCAGGAAGGAGGGAGGGAGGGGAAGCAGGAAAGAGGGAGGGAGGGGAAGCAGGAAGGAAGGAGGGAGGGAGGGAGAAAGAAAGGGGAGACAGGAAGGAGGGAGGGAGGGGAAGAAGGAAGGAGGGAGGGAGGGAGGGAGGGAGGGGAAGCAGGAAGGAGGGAGGGAGGCCCCGAAGATTTATAAGGTGGTGAACACCTGGCACAGCCCTGTCTTCTTCCGAGACACTGGCTTGTGCTATGCTTTCCCATTGAAGTGTGTTGTTATTCTGGGGAAGGAGGTAGAGCCAGTTTGTGATGTCACCTACAGCACAGACATGGCGTAGTGACACACTGGTGGTGACAGTGTGTTCTGTAAGGTGACACAGCTGAAGGTTCCTGGAGGGGGGACTGCACAGCCACCCTGTGCCGGGTTGCAGTGTGCCGGGCAGGTGACGGACGGGAGAGCTCTTCACAGACCACCACCAGCCGTGCCGGCATGTGGGTGTGCGGTCACCTACACAGTGTAGGCCTCTAGAGTGACAGCGAGTGACTGTGGCCGGCTTACGTGTTGAATATACTTGTAACCATTATTTCAGGGTGTGTGAGGGTGTGTGTGTGTGTATGTGACTGTGTGTGTCTGTGTGACTGTGTGTGTGTGTGTGTGTGTGTGTGTGTGTGTGTGTGAGGGTATGTATCTGTGCATGTGACTGTGTGTGTGAGAGGGTATGTATGTTTGTGACTGCCGAGTGGGGCCGCCCAGGCTCCGGCCATCGGTGGACGTCATCAGGAAATGCTCGTCGCAGAAGGGGGCTCAGGGAAGAGGGGCCAGGGAGCACAGGAGGATGGTGGGGCCCTGGGCCGTGAACTGCGTGTGGGAACGTGTTAACGGGAACGGTTCTGACGCCGTGGCGCACTTGTCTCTTCTCCTGGTTACAGAAAGGAGAAAATGCCGGTGCAGCTGGACGACGAGGGGGGCCGGACCTTCCTGCGGGTGCTCATCCACCTCATCATGCACGACTACCCCCCGCTGCTGTCTGGAGCCCTGCAGCTGCTGTTCAAGCACTTCAGCCAGAGGGCAGAGGTGCTGCAGGCCTTCAGGCAGGTGAGGCCGGCCAGCGAGTCGGGGGGGGAGAAACGGGCCTGGGAGCCGGGTGGCCTGATGGTGACGCTGTCTTCCTGGGACCCTGTCTGTCATTTCTGAGATGGGGGCAGCTGACCCGGAACTCACTATATTGCTCAGCTTGACCTTGAACTCTTGGCAGTCCCCCATCTCTGTACTATGATACCCAGCTTGTTACTTTTTGTTTTGACGGATAGGCGAGGCCTTGTCTGTGCCTCGACAGGACCTGCTTTGGAACGAGCCTCCCATGGGTGATTTTCACTCCTTATCTTCCTAAAAATGACTGACTCCAAAATTTAGGATGTGCTGGGGAACAGTAACGTATTAGAAATTTTGTTGCCATTGCTGTTATTTTGGCTATAGAACTGAATGGTGCATTGGACAATCCATAGCTTCAAAATAAATGTAATTTAAAATGCAGCCCCTTCGAAAGAAGGAAGTGATGAAGAGTCAGCCTTTTCGTATGTGCTGCTTGGAAGGCATGTTGATCTCTCAATGATTATGTGTGGGCGTCTCACTAATGTCCTGTGCTTAGCGAGCGTGGGCCTGCAAGGAAGCTTTGCGGGAAGATGTTGACAGAACACAGGAGTTAAATGGTAGCCATTTAGATGCACATGTTTCCCATGTATGTGCCATGAAGTATGTATAGATTACAAATTGTGCCGTTTTTCCAAGTTCTGAAACATCCGTTTATATTAGTGAGTGCATACTGTAGCCATTAATATGTTCTTCCATGTGTTTTTTATGTGTTGACTTTTTCAAACAGATACATTTATAGAAAGCCCCAGAAAAACTAGCTTGAGCCAGGAGATTAGAGTTGGATTATCTTTTAAGAGAAGAAGTACTTATTTTCATTTCGTGTATGTATGTTTCCATTCATGTATGTTTGTGTACATCTGTGTGCAGTGCCCCTGGACGCCAGAAGAGGGCGCGGAGTCCATGGAGGTTGTGAGCTGCCATATTGGTGCTGGGACCTGAATTTAGGTCTCTTTGAGAACATCAGCCCCCGAGCCATCTCTCCAGACCCAGAGACTTTTATGCCAAATTTCCTTTTAGCATTTTAAAAAGTGTTTTGAGCACACATCTAAGAATTCCTTTTCACATGTGACCATATTGCTTGGAGTTCATGAACACGTGCAGCTAAGTTTCCAGTCAGTACAAAAGCAATATCCTAAATGTTCTGTAAACATTGAACTTCACCTAATGCGTGTTTAAAGAGGGGATTGAGGGTGTACAGGAACTAGGGATACAGAAACCTGTGTGAGAATATTAAGGAGGAAGTTTTCTGTGTTTAGGTGCAGTTACTGGTGTCAAACCAAGATGTTGATAACTACAAGCAAATCAAGGCAGATCTGGACCAGCTGCGGCTGACGGTGGAGAAATCCGAGCTGTGGGTTGAGAAGAGCAGCAGCTACGAGAATGGCGAGATGGGGGAAGGTCAGGCCAAAGGAGGTGAAGAGACCAACGAGGTTTGTTCTCAAGATCACTATGAGGATGAAGATTGCGTATTTTCACATACTGTCTAGGAGCGCTTTACCTCCGTCTGTGCCCCACGCGTGCAGTGCCCATAGAGGCCAGAAGGGGGCACCGCATCCGAGGGAACCGGGGGTGCAGAGGTTGTGAGCTGGGTCCCGGGGGCCCGGCCGCCAGTGCTCGGCTGGTAAGCCAGGGGCCGGCCCCCGCTTTTAAAAGCAGTTGTAACACCTGTGAAAGCCAGGCGCCGCTGGCGTCCCATTGGCGGCGTTCCTGAGCCGCCTGCCCGGTGTCCCGCTGGGGTTTGTCACTGGGGGTGAGGTTGCACACTGCTGCTCTCCGGGCGTTTCGGGTCTCAGAGTGGTGGCGCAGGAAGTGTGAAGTAAATATTCATGTCGGTTCTTAAAAATGCGGGTGACGAGGTCGAGTCGGGTGGCGGCTCACGTCAGTCTCAGGACGGTGGGCTACCTACATGTCATTCTACGCGTTAGCTTTAGGGACTCTTCCCCATAATTTTTAAAACTGCCTGTGGAGTGCAGACTTTGTGACTTCTAAAGATTTGTTTTATGATCAGTTAGGGCGTACGGTGGCGGGATTCTTCTCTATCGCACTTCTGAAGAGAAAAAGTAGGCATTGAGTCTGCGCTTCCCACGTCCCGCCAAAGCTCGGATGTTTTTACACTTGGAGAATGTCACAGCAAACATGGGAGATTCCTGTAGGCCTACATTTTCAAGTTTAATAAACTAAAGCTTGGAAAACCCACGGGCTCCCCTAGGCTTTGAACTCTGGGACTTGACCAGCATTTGGATGATAAGATCCAAGTTCCCTAAGATTGCGCTTTCTGACATTATTAACAAGTTGCTATGCTTTCACAAATTATACCCCTCTCTTCTGAAAAATCACAGTTTACATGTGTCCTAGGAAATTTACCGTGGCTTCTCACTGGCTTAGACATACCTGTGGAGTTATTTCGTGGCGCTCTCTGGCTTGTGGTGTAAAAAATCATTGTTCTGGAGGATTCGAATGAGTGAGTTGTGAAGCTGGCATTTAGTCTCCGAGTCTCAGGAAACAGCAGTCTTTTTAGGTATGCTGGCTAGAAGGGGTTTAGTATGAAGAGTTACATACTTGGGAAATCCAGGGTTCACAGAGGTTGGCTGCGGAGCCATGGCGGCTCTGCTGACGTGGCTGCGTCTGCGTGGACAGGCTGTGACCGACGCGGCGCGCTGATGGAGTGTTAGTGTCAGTGCTGGTGGGGTTCTTTTGGTTTTTGTTTGGTTTGGTTTTCCCTGTCACTTTGACACAAGTTGGGTCATCTGGGAGTAGGGACTCTCAACCGAGGAAGCGCCTCTGTCAGGCTGGCCGGTGGCAAAGTCTGTGGGGACTTTCCTTGATCAGTGATCGCTGTGGGAGGGCCCAGCCCCCTTGGGCGCCTCCCCTGGGCAGGGGATCTGTGAAAAAGCAAGCCTAGTGAGTCCCCAGAGCACGCCACTAAGCCGTGTTCCTCCGTGGCCTTGGCTTCATTTCCTGTCTGCACGCTCCTGCCTCTGATTTCTGCTCTGGCTTCCCTTCATGTGACAGTTAACATTAAATAAACCCTTTCCTCTCCAAGCTACTGTTAGTCACATGTAAGAGAAGTCAGTTACACGGCTTCAGTGGACATTAACAACTGACAGTGTGAACGCACCAGCAAATAAGGCTCCAACTTTATTTATTTTTTAAGACTTGTTTTGATTTATGTGTATGTGTGAGTGTATTCCATGGGCATGTGCTTGCAGAGGCCAGAAGAGGGCGCTAGAGGCCCCGCAGCTGGGGTTGCAGGCAGTGTGAGTGGCCCAGGGTGGGTGCTGGGAACTGAACTCAGGTCCCTGCCAGCACAGCAGCAGCTCTTAACTGCTGAGCCAACCTCAAGTGCCTGAGCTGTAATTTCCTGCTTCAGTCTTGTCATCATAGGTCTTCGGGCTTAATTCTGAGGCCGCTCCTGCATCTCCTGGTTGTATCCTAGCAACAGCATTCTGCTGTCCTGTCTGTGCACAGCATCACCTACAACAAACAGGCACCTCTGAGCCTCCGGCTTAGGGACGAAGGAGCGTGACCCAGGAGTTCCTCCTAGTGCCTTGTCTGGAGCCTGGGCACATTTTACCGCTAAACCAGTGAGTTAAGGCAGCTATGCTAATTTGTGTAATTTGTGTTTGTGTCAACTGGATGTAAGCTGGAGTCATCTGGGAAGGAGTGTGGACTGAGCCTGTGGACATGTCTGTGGGAAATCTTGGTTGTTTGTTGATGGAGGAGGACACAGCCCTCGGCAGGTGACACCGTTCCTGAGCAGGTGGTCCTGGGCTGTCTCAGGAAGCCAGCCAAGCATGTGCCCGTGAAGAGAGCCAACAAGCAGCATGCTGTCATGGCTTTTGCTCAGGTTCCATCAGTGATTCACTGTGGCCTGGAGTGTATGATGTATAAGCCCTTCACCCCTCAAGTTGCACGTGCTCAGCAATACGAATCAAACTTGAGCAGTGTGTATCTCAAGAAATAGAACAGGCCCGGTGTGGTGGCACACTCCTGTAATCCCAGCACTCAGGAGGCAGAGGCAGGCGGATCTTTGTGAATTTGAGGCCAGCCTGGTCTACAAAGTGAGTCCAGGACAGCCAGGGCTACACAGAGAAACCCTGGCTCAAAACAAACAAACAAACAAACAAACAAATAAACGGAACCCACCCCTCAGGCCCCCGTGGTCTTTCTGTACCCAGAATAAGCCACTCCTGTGGGTTTGTTGGCTCCCTTCCTTAATGGTTCTGTTTGGGCAGGTAGTGAGGTTGTTTGCTCACGAGTACCAGATAACGCTGCTGGGCTGTGGAGATGGCTCAGTGGTTAACACACTTGCCACACTAGCGCAAGGGCCAGGGGGTTTGCATGACTGGAACCTATGTAAAATCTGCATGGGCATCGCAGGTGGCCTGTGGGTTCAGCATCAAAAGGCAGAGGTAGAGGAGCAAGCTGGCAGCCGGACTAGCCTTATTGGTGAGCCGTGGGATGGACTGACGGACTCTGCCTCAGCGAATAGCCTCAGTGAGCAGTGGAGATGACTCCAGAAAACCGCTGTGACCCCTCATGCAGGCTGGTTGTGGCTAGGAAGACACTTGCTGTGTGTTCAGCTGCGTCTTCATTTTGAAACTCCAGCGCAGTATACATTAAACCGTCTTAGTGTGGCTGCGCTGACACGTTAATGGAAATACAGATCTGGTAGTTTCTCTCGAACCTTGCAGTAAACACCGAGTAACTTACTCACTGAGTAATTTCACCCACATCTTATTTGTAGTTTACACCAGCTGAAGGTTTAACTTTAGCCCTTATACTTGTTCATGACTGCAAATGGGCTGTTTTCACATTTATTTGGTGGTTTTCACCAGTTTTGTTGCTTCCTAAATGTTTTGTTCCTTCTACTTGATGTCCGTGTGTGCTCCTTCCAGAGTGTGGATAGTTGGGGGTTGCTTTTCTAATTTAAAACATTTTCAAGTTTTGCTGTTTGGACACTGAGCTGCCATGGGCTACATCTGTGCGGGTGTGTGTGTGTGTGTGTGTGTCTTTCTAGGTTATCTCCATGAATGGTCCTTGGTTGGAGTATCAGTCTCAGAAAAGATCCCTGGGCCCAGATTTTTTGGTTCTGTTATTCTCCTTGTGGAGCTCCTGTTCCCTCCAGGTCTATCTCCCCCTTCTTTCAGAAGATTCCCTGCACTCTGCCCAAACTTTGGCTAGGAGTCTCAGCTTCTGCTTTGATACCCTGCTGGGTAGTCTTTCAGAGGACCTCTGTGCTAGGCCTCTGTCCTGTTCCCTGTTTTCTCCTTCTTCCAATGTTTATCCTTTTTGTCTTCCTAAGTGAGGATTGATCATCTTACCCAGGGTCCTCCTTCTTGCTACAGCAAGAGCTCTTAACCACTGAGCCATCTCTCCAGCCCCATTTGGAATTTTCTTAGGAATGTTTATGTCATTATTTTTCTGCTCATGTGTGATTACATGTTCTTAGGTTTTTTCACAGACTTCATTTTCAGGACAGTTTGGCGTCTAGAGAGAAATTTCACGTGAAGAAGACAGTTCTCACACACTTCCTCTCTGCTCTCTTACCCCCTTGCTCACATCCGGGATCTGTGTGTTGTGTCTTAGACTTGACGAGCCACACCCAACACATTTTAGGAACTAAAGGCTTTGCTTTGTTGAGGGCTCACTGTCTGCAGCCCATTGTGCGAATGGTTGTGAGAACTGAATAATGTCACCCACGACAGCAGAGTAGACCCACTGTCCTGCCAGGCCCTGCCTGCCACCTGTCCCTCCTCCCCACAGAGCTCCCGGAGACTCTGCAGGTTTACGTTTTTCCAAGTGGTTTGATCATGAAATAACTGTCTCTTTGGCTTAATATGTACATAACATTTTCCGGTAACTCCACATAGACAGAAGGCATTTAGCCCTGTAATAGTCCATGTGTGGCATCCTGCTGACTGATATCTTAATAAATACTCAGCTAAGGACGTCTGTTTGGTTATGAGATATTATAATTGTTTGGTTGCAGACTCTGAGCCTGTATGTTTTGGTACCCGGCCTGGGGGTTGAGGAGGGTGCTGTTTTTCTTATGGTAATTGTAGTTTCCCCAGCCGGATGCCAGGGGGCGCTGCTACCCTGAGCCCACAGAGATCCCTATCTGTATGCCAGTCTCAAGGTTTAGCTCCTCAGAAGTTGACACTTGCTCAGAGCCTGGGGCCTGAGCTGCAGAGCTAACCTTGCATTTGCCGTCTGGGTGGTCAGTCCATAGTCTGTGGATTGGAGCCCTCTGCTGATGGCTTTTGGTTGTGTACCCCAACTCCACTTGCTGAGGTGGAGGGTGGGCGTGACTCTGGGAAATGTTGAAGTAACTTGAGACCTAGAACCTAGCTTCTTTGTAGGAAGCTGTGTCGTAGTTTCAGCTGTTCCTGCAGAAGGTCCTAGCTGGGGTTATTCAGGCCTTTAGTGT